GCGTGATCAGAAGCCGCCAAAGAAAACTCACACAATATTGTTGTGGAATCGTGAATTCCAAGCACAGCTATGTGGGTATATTTTTCCGTAAACTTCGAGAGACCGAATCTTAGTTCATGCGACTGAGCGAAGCCGCAGATCGATCGAATTACCTTACCGGAATTTTCGCGAAAAGGGAGCCTACCAATATTCTTGTGCTGTAGCGGAATTTCGTCCTCCGAGATTCTAGGGTCGATATTATTCCTATGAACAATTCCGGGGCGCTTTTTCAGGGAGTGGGGTAGGAGCATCGGGGATCGGAACAGATTTCCCTTCGAAATTTATCCTCTCGTAATGCCCAAAAGTGGTTCGCTTCGTCAATTAAGACCTCTGCCTTCCTCCCTCCCGAAACCTAGTTTGCATACCCGGGAAGAATCCTGTCAACGTCTTCCTCAATTACTCTAATATATGCATTTGAACCCATCCCTTAAAATGAGCCCGAACGCGATTTTGTTCCCGGGTCACCTTTGCCAGGTTTGGTTCCTTCCGAGCTTGCATGCCTCGCTGAACCGGTCCGAGAAGGTCTCCCATCACAGGCTCCAGAGACTCATAGAGATATCTTTGTCGTTTGGAACTCGGGAGCTATTTAATCGCTCGACACGTTTAGGGACAGGCCTTTTCGGCGAATCCCAGGATGACTCAATTTTGTGGCCGAAGATGATCTACAATCAGACTGGTGCGTCAGGCGCACATCACGTGTGTTCCTCGAGTGGAATCGGTGGGATCCGACATGTCTAGGTATGCGCCTGCCGAGGAACGCATTCGCTTGTGAGCAAAGAAATATTTCAGGATTCCTCACCATTTATTTTGATCCGCTTAATTAGTGATAATTATTGGCCCCTGAGTGCTAATGTATCGGTCGAAGTATAAATCAAGCGTACCTCGGGGCTCAGGGATATTCATTGTGTTTCTGATTCTTACTTCACTGCGGCGCGAAACGAGGAGCACAAGGGCCTCAGGGCTGTCGAGCCTTGGCTCCTTCCAGAGTCAGCGGCTTGCGTACGCTTTGCGGCTCCTAATGTAGCATGAGCCGTTCCGGAGGAAACGAGACGGAAACACTTCTCTCGGAGAAGCCGGCTGCGGGATCCAGCCTCTCATGTAAAATACGAAGATGCGAAAACGTCCGATTTTCCGGGAACCCTGATCGTAGGAGCTCGCGTCAACCGGCTGATGGTCCTCCATATGTATCAGGGCGTCGAGTGACATGCAGGACAGTCGAGATATTTCGGACTCCTTGATCCTCCTGGGTACATCTGTTGGATGCATCCGTGCGTCGTCGGAAGCAATGTGAATAACTGTACCCGAGACGTGTGTGGTCCAGCCTGGCAAAGTTTCTCTTCGGTTCTGATTCCAGTGGGGACTCGCGGAATCCCGGCATTCGATGAAGCACCGCCTCCAGCGCTCATCAACAGACTGAATATATCGGTATATGCGGTGTTCCGGAGGGAACGGCACGGAAACACCTTGGAGCCTGCTGAGAAGGCGCGGAATCCGGAGAGCTCTCGGCTTATTGACCACGAAACCTGGAGACTACAGGATTTGTAGGTACCACTCGCCGGACGGCTGGCTTTACATCCGCGCTCTCTCCTCCCGATCAATCCATGGCTGCCGTCCTGAATCTGTGTCCAATAGAACTTTACAGCTCCTCTTCGGCAGGCTTCTCTCTCGCAAACGTCTTTCCGCCGAGAGCTCGTGGAACTATCAAATATAGAATTCGACTCGAGATAGGGCACATGGAGGTGTTTCCTCATATCTCTCTCTGGATAGTGTCTCTCCAAAATGAACACCGATGCAACCCAGCGGCTGTGTTCGAGGCGTCGTTTTCGTCGGAAGAGTATTCGATTGAATTATAATTGGAGCTGGGGCGACAATTCCTATAAGAGCTCATCATTCATCACGATTCCCGTTCGCCAAGGAGGAGCGAGATCTTTCGCAGAATTTCGAGCTCTTGACCATGCTCCACGGCACGGCACCCGGCACAAATATAGACATCATCAACATATAGAGCTCGCGGGAGTCTTGCAGATGAAGTGGAGGAACTCGACCTGGGGATCCCGAAACGAGCTCATGTTTGTGCGCAGGACTTCGTCCACAAGCCAATAAAGGATTTCGGCATCCCAGTGCTCTCCGGGAGCTTGGGATGAATCCCAGCCACGTTCAAAATACTACGCATGTTCAGCGAAGAACGAGTAGCATTAGCATCGCATCAGAAGGGTGAAAGTATTTGGTGGGGACAGGAGGAGTTTGCGCCGAAAAGCATCTCTTGCGATTAGGGTCCACAGTAGATAAGGTGCGGGAAGTGAACATTCGGCGTGCAATAGAAACCTCCATTGGGAAAAGAAACTGCATCTGGTGAACCTAGAAGTGTGAACCGTTGAAACTGCATCCAGCCTCAATTCAAATTCGCAACCCGAGTTCGGCTCCGCAAGTGATTCAGATGCTTCGGGTCATAACCAGCTCGACAGCGAACACTACTACTTCTTCGGGCGAGGGTCAATCTCCCGAAAACTGACAGACAGGTGCTCAGCAGCGAATAATTCTGAGGGAATGACGCTCTTCAAGAAACGAAAAAAAGACGTCCCGGATGGTCCCGGAGAAGCATTGACATTGGCTAGATCAAGGGAGGCCCCCCCGTCTTTGCGAAAGAGAATTTTTAATTTCTGTCGCCTCTCGTCTCTTCTTCTTTTTTCTCCGCGAAATTCGCGTCCCTGCTCAGCTTCCAGAAAGATCAGTGGATCGTAAGTTTCACCAACCGTAACAGCTCACACAAATATCTCGCTAAACATATTCATCCTGGGAGCCGTTCACTGGCGAGAAAATTCGACAGTCCGATCAAAACTGTGACGATCGTTTCGTTCTGCATCCGTTGAACGGTGCAGAATCTAATAATATTCGAATCTCCTCGATGGTCCGTTCCGACGGAGGAACCATGACAATGTTCTGAGCTCGACACTACTCCATCGCTCGAGAAGCAACAGTGTCCCGACCTCGAATAGAAAACAACCCGAAGAGAGTCATTCTGGCAATTTCGGAGATACAGAATGTAGAACTGGTGCTTGGCAACGAGACCAGATGTTGAGACCGCACGTAGAAAAGAATCGTTTCATCATTGCCGTCATCATGGAGCACAACAGGGAGTGACGGAACTTCTGACCACAGAAATACCGGCAGTGGCAAACACAATGAACACTGAAGTGTCAGATGCTCTTGATTTCGAAATTGAATCGAGAATCTCGAGCGGCTGGTGAGGAACTACGATGGCCGCTCCACTGTTGGAGCGAGAATGGACCAATAACAGAAATTTTTCGTGTCGGACGCCCGTTCACTCTTCCGCTCGTCAAACGGTCAGTCTGTCACTTCTGTTCATTTATTGCAGTATTTCTCGCGCTGTCGTTGTTGGAAAGATTCTATCTAGACACCGTCAGTCTTAAACGGTCGAATCGTCGCTCGATTTTCTGTCGATCGAAACACCGGAATCGTAATGTCCGTGGCGTTCCCTCTGGTACGTCGTTGCTTCCAGAAATTGTCACTCCAACGGAGAGCCCACACAAGCTAACGGTTCCGGCCAATTTATTTTTGTGAGAACGGAAGTTACCGAAGATTCTTCCGAATATCGAGCGGAGATCGGCAGATACGCTCGCTTAGCAGAATCTCGGGTTTTCGCGCCGTCCGGAATCTCACGTAGACTCAAAAAGCTCTCCGGCAAAATATGAACCTCGAGCATCCAAGACGAGCTCCGGGCTTCTGCCGCGATTAGCTTGTGCTCCCCCAGAATCGAGCGACGACCCCGTGGCTCAAGTGTTTCTCATTGCGAGAATCGGGAATGAGAGGAGTCCACGCCTAGATTATATTAGGAGGTTCGATTGTTTTCGGAACATCGAGGATAGCTGTCATGGAATGATGATTGGTCTTCTTGGGGCACTGGTGAGCCATTATTGTATCGTTTTTGGATCTCTTTCTGTGATAATCGGGATCAGTATTTCTGACGTCCACGGCGATTTTGTGAATGAAACAGTGGGAAAGCTACATCACGGTACAAGTTTGATTCGGTAATTGGCTCATTTCGAAGTTTTCAGATCAAACCGATGTCAGTATTCTGTTCTCCGATTCGATCAGAACAGGGACGATTTCTGTGGCTCAACAAAAACGCGCCGATTTCACGGAGAGCCCCGACTGAATGGATTTACGCTCGGATAGACCTTGGTGAGACTGAATGAGCCGGGGGATTGGAGCTCCCTGACGGGTTGATACCATCGAGATTGGGAGAACCATCATCGATGAGCCCGAGACGTTGAAAATGAAGTAGCGGACCAGCCATCGGAGCATTCTCGGTCAGGTGGGTCCTATCGCATCTGGGATATCGGCATTCGAGGCCACCTGACATCGAAGACATAAGTCCCGAGGTCCGGATCGCTCCTTTTTTTCCATCGATTCATAGGTCGATCAAATTCTAGTGGAAAGTGTCGGCGAGAATTCGGGAGCGGGACGCCCGCCATGAGCCGTGATTTCTTGCGCCGGTTTCGAGGACGCGCGAGCCTTTTTTCCTATGGCTTACTCTCTCGAATCGCCTGTGTTTCTCAGCCCAAGAGCCGAGGCTGCATTCACTGCATTCTCCAGCTCCTCCGTGGGCGATACGCGGTATGTGGGGGATGAGAAATGTTTCCGCGAATCACTGACCGAAAGACCGATTCTCGAGATCGCTCAGCGGGGAGTTGGCGGACCACTTCTGCAGTCGTCCTTCTCTGGCTGCTGCTGCTGCTGTATATGTTTGTGTATGCTGTTGTGATCACGACGAGCGTCCGAGAAAGCAAAATGCTCCTTCTGAAAGAAGTTGTTCGGTGAACCAAGGTCGAGACCGCCCTTTCCAACGGGATGGATGCCTGCCCCTGACTTCGAACGAGCCTCTATAAAATCCAGGAGGATCGAGTGAACGCCAGACTTTTTGCAAGACAGCAACAAACATGAAGGCAAGTTCCCAGAACGTCCTCGCAGAGGATGCCGCCCCTTCATCGAGCTGCGGTGTGATTGGTGTTCTTAAGAGTGCTCTAGGGAGAGTTATCGCGGGTGCGACTTCCGCTGTAAAGTGTACTCGTTATATTTTCACGAACAGCAAGGCCCGAAGTTCCTTGAACTTCGTAGTCACGCTCTCTTTCGGTTGTTCGGATCTCGCGATCTGTGGATAAGTTATCCGGGATAACGTTGAGTCGGAGTCATCGGACGATGACGAGCATTGGATTTGCTACTGAGACGACTCGCATGTTCATCGCAGGGGGTTTCTCCCGAGATCGGGGCCCCGAGGGGAGAAATTTGTATTCGGGTCGTCAAACCTTGTTAAAATGAGTCCATGTTCTTAACAGGCTTTCGTCTGCGTTGCCGCCCTCGTCGCCGCCGCCCACGGTGGAGTGATCGCATCCACTGGATCCTCCTCCCAGTTCCGGTCCGAGGATGGACTCGGAAACTACAACTTCGGATACGACGAGAACCACTCGACCGGAGGATCCTTCCGTCGTGAGTCCGGCAACAACGTCGGAGTCAAGGCCGGATCTTACGGACTCCGTGACATCGACGGACGCGTCCGTGTCGTGAACTACGTCGCTGACGGCGCGGGATACCGAGCAGCCATCTCTACCAACGAGCCTGGAACCGCTCCCTCGGCCCCTGCCGCCGCAGCCTACAACGCCGCGCCCGCTGTAGCTGCCGCCGCCTCCTACGCCGCCCCTGTTGCCGTTGCTGCTCCCGCCTACGCTGCCCCTGTTTCCGTTGCTGCCCCTGCCTATGCCACCCCTGTCGCTGCCCGAGCCTACGCCGCCCCCGTCGCCCACGCATACGCTGCCCCCGTCGCCCATGCGTACGCTGCCCCCGTCGCCCATGCGTACGCTGCCCCCGTCGCCCGGGCGTATGCTGCCCCCGTCGCCCACGCGTACGCTGCCCCCGTAGCCCACGCGTACGCTGCCCCTGTTGCCGTCGCTAAGGCCACCTCTTACTCCTCTGCCGTGAACCACGGAACTGTGCACGCTGCCCCCGTCGCCGTCGCTGCTCCCGCGGTCGCTGCTTACGCCGCTCCCGTTGCTCACCATGTAGCTGCTCCCGTCGCTGTCGCAAGAGCCACTTCTTACTCATCTGCTGTCAACCACGGAACCTTCCATGCTGCTCCTGTTGCCTACGCCGGACACGTCGCTCACGGCGTCGCCGCCCCTGTGGCTTATGCTGCCCACCACGCTAAAGTTATCGTTTAGGAAGTTAATGTTGTTTTGACATCTCCCACGGTTGTGTATAGACAGAAGGATGGACAGGGGGTGGGTTGCACTAGTGTAACTCAGTTTTCCTATGTAGAAAAGAATAAACGAGCTTTCCCATGAATGACAACCTTATGTTCCACTTCGAGCTCATGCATTCGATCAGCTCACTCGTCGGTGAAAGGCTCGCACTCTGTCATGGTCGAATGGAAGTTCCTGGTTCATCCTTGATGGAGAGAGCATCACCATGATTTTTTATCATTTCCGATCACCCGGGACGCTGCAGCCCATGGGACTGAAGATGAGCTCCTCCTATACCGGGAAAGAAGAGTAGCCGGGAGTCCCGCCAAATGGAGGAAACCTTTCAAGGGAATAAGAACTGCAGTCCCATGATAAGCGGTTTCTCCGTTCAACGAATTACTCCGTCGTTGCGACATGAGGGTTTCGATTTGAGCGGACCAAGACCTGTGAAGCTTCGCTCAACGGACCTCCTGACATTGCAGGGCAGAACAGATATGAGCTTTTTTCATCGCGAACACCCGCTCGTACAGCAAAGCATCCGAAGGCGATGAGTTCAATGGCATGATTGCTTGCGATCGCGCACAGAAAATCGATTCCTAAGAGCAACTTCACGATGAAGCAAAAAACAATCGTTCCTGACATCGGCAACAAGACCAATTGCCGAAAATGCTCAATCGCTCATGTTTTCGTACGGCAGATGACTGCTGCTAACAATATCTGATCGACCTTGGACGTAAGCGCAGCTGGCTCGGTGCAAATACTTCTGCTTAGGTCTTCGTGCATCGGACAAGAGAGATTGGATTCGGCTATCATGAACTGGTTCCATTACTGTTCTGAAATCAGGCTGAAATCACCACCAGCGATGAGTAATGATTCGGCTTGATTGTGGAATAGCAAGAGACCGAAACTCGTTCCTCCCCGGAGGGGAGAAGGTTTCGTTCGGTCGAAATGTTTCAATTATCTGTGCCGGAGACTCGACGAATACTCGATTCTCATTCATAATATATCAATCATATAATTGCAGCCGGAGAGCCCACGAGGTGCGCGAAAACTGGTTTCTTCTCCGATAATCAAACGTAAGGAGCATATCATCACTGGAAGGCGCGTCTAGGGACGGGGGGAACCAGGGCACAAGCTCCGGGCGCCGATTCCAAGGGAGCGCAAAATCGAATTTTCTTGCCCCCTCATCTGAGTTCGGACATTCGAACCCGGAATCCATTCCAATACAGCGCACACCGGAGTCCACTCAAGAGATAGTTGAGCTCCCGTCTTTCGAAACGTCAAGGATCATTCTGATTCGGTCAGTTCGATTATAGCACTGTTCTCCCCGGATATATACGCTCCCTGTCCCCCAGGGGCGTACGCAGAGCCATGCGGAGACCCTATCTAACTCCCCTCCCCCACCCCCGCCGACAAAAATCCTGTGTACGCCAGTGCTGTCTCCGTCTCGCGGCGCGGATACCCCTCCCGTGTCTAAGCGGTGATAGTCAAGAATTGCTGGGGAACCACTCAACTTCATCATAAAATACTGTAGGGGGAATGTCTTTCCCAGTCTGCGAGACACTGCTCACGATTGCCACTTCCGTCGTCAGCTCCGAGAGTGCTTCCACCAAAACGGAGCATTCTACCTCCAAGCGTCAATGGGTCAAGAAAGACGGACCGATTGCTCTATGATGAGCATAGGGAGGGAAAGAACAAGATGATCGATTTCGAAGCCTGAATCATCACCTTTGCTCGGGTGAGAGCTCGTGAAGTAATACTTCGAACCTACAGTCATGCGTATGACTGAATTCATTGTATTCTCTCTAGAGGACAAAGAACGCGAGACGAGGGGGCGCATTTCCGTCCTCCGCCCTGGGCGTCAAAAAGGCTAGGCACGCCACTGCCATGATTTCGTCTGCCGAAAAATCGCTCGTACCCGAAATTCTGAGGTCTTAGACTGAGCCCGACTCAAAACTGGTCGAAATCGATGTGGTAGAAAAAGCGGGCTTCCGATGTTACTTGGTACCAGGAAGATTGCTGATCGCGATCATGATGATAGATGCTGACGATGTCGATGATGGCCGCGACGGCGCTGATAATGGGGATTGCGATCCCGAAGCCGGCGAGACTGACCAGAACAACAACGTCGCCGCCGACCTTGAGCGTATTACGGATACAGTATCTAATTGCTCCGGCGCAGGACGATTTCAACAAGATGATGAATGAGATACAGTATCACCGGAACAAGAAACGCCAGACACTTTTTTGCTCCTCGTCTCAGAGACGTCGAACATTTAATGCAACAGTGTTTCTGCGCGTCGAAAAAATCTGCTCTGATTGAGTGCTTTCGCGTTCTCGTTCTTCCGAGAATCGGGGAGGTTTAGATTTCTCGGAGCTTCCGTGTGGTAAGTCACACAAGGCAGGAAATCTGCGGTCCCAGATGCCCGACAGCGCCACAGTCCCCAGATTAGTTCTCCGGACCCATCCGATTTCGGATCGCTCTCTGCCACTACCGGTCCCGCTCTGGGTCGATTTCCCGGATGGCGGCGATGGACTTCCAGTCCTCTCAATGTGTTCGGATCAGTATCGAGATCGTCGAGGTGGAGGGCCACGAGCTCCTGGAGGCGATTCCCTTGATTACCTGGAGGATTCAGGAAGTCCCTACAGCCCGGCGTGTGCCTAACCGCTCAGAGATGCTCATATCTTAGAACGTGCTCAGCTTTTTTCTCTGAGTCAGCTATTCTCGATTCCTCTCCTGCTGGATAGAATTCGCAGCAGAGCTCGGGATCCCTCAATCAGATTTTGTTACTTGATTGTATCAGAGGGATGGACGTGAAATCGTTTACTTCTTATCATAGATGAGCACGACACCGGGACTGTGTGAAATCGAGGGGCCGATCGGGAGGACGGAGCCTGGGAGCCCGTCAGAAGACGAAATTTCGAGGGAATTACCTTTTTGACCGAGAAGTCGGATGCTCGTTGGCAAGCTCGCTCTCACTGATAAGCATCCCACGAGCTGTCCGTCCCGATATTCCGTTCGAGTGGGACCGGCATCTCCTTGGAGGACGTTCAACTGGCGAGGAATCCACTGTTCTCAACCAGGCATGTGCGAGACAAGCATACGGGAAACGGGTATCTAGAGAATGGGCTCATACAGGGCCTAATCGTTTCGAGGCTCGGACGGAAGAAGAATTAAAACACCACAGCTGTTGTCGTATTGAATTGTTCGTTTTATTGCACAGGATTTGACCCTATTGCATGGCTCTGTGAATTATGTTCCAGCAGTTTCTAAAATATCTTCTCTTCATTTTATGAGACAAATATTCGGAGCGCGTAACCAATCCGAAATTCGCGGGATCAAGACTAAATTCTCCTTCCCAAATCGTGCGCACGAATAAATTAAGAGTCGGTCGTTTGAGGGAACCCAACCGCAGCAGTTCATCTCTTCCGGAAGTCACTGAGCTCCGCTGAGCTTGAAGAGCTGCCGGCGATCACAATTCGAATACGTCGAAGCCTCTAAAGCACGGTTTCTGTCTGGAGAGAACCTTAGTCAGCCAGGTTTTTGGGTCGCTCAGCTGTCGGAATGTTGGAATTCAGACTCATCTAGACTCGCTGGGTTCATCGAATCGGAAAGAATCTAGACTTTGGGAAGCCTGATTTCGGACCAAGACCAATCTGATGAGCTCTCCGGCTTGATATTACACCCGTTTCGAAAATGGAGATGAAAACTGCAGCCGAAGAGCTCTAGTCACTTAGTTCGAGAGGGTTCCGACGATACTCTATTGAATATGCATTAGGTAGCGGAGTCCATACGTAGGATTCAATGGCTTGGTTGTGAATGCAACAGCTCCGATTTTCACAGGAAGGCACTTGCAAGAGGAAATTTACAAAAAACGGAGCAGCATTACATCGTCAGGTGATGCCTCCTATCTCTGTCCGAGGGAACCTCGCTCTCCAATAACTCCCTCAAATACCAGGGAGAAAGAGGGTCCATGACAAGGATTCGATTTTATCTCTGGAATGATTTCGAGGCGAGAAATCTCGCTTAAATCCTTCTCGAAAAATACCCCACCTCTATTCGTAGCGGGGGAAATGATCCGCGAAAGCGGCTCCCCTCCCCTTTTTACCGATTGTTCATATGGGGTCGTATGGTGGAATGATGATGCAGCAGCGACGAAACGTCCGCCTCGAGCCGAAGATCTGCACCCGGTACTGTCCTCTGGAGGGCTTCCGCGTGAGATGGCCGTCGTTTCTATACCTATCGAACTAGCTGACGGATGATAGAATTTCATTTTTTTTACAAAAATATAGCTCGAGATAAGATGCAACATTGACAGACAGACAAACTGCACTGCCACTCATATGTGTATCGCCTATGATGGTTTGCCATCGTACACGCCGCCAGCGCGTCATGAAACTAAGTGTTCTCTGACTTCGAATAAATAACTCGCAACGCTTCCGAATAACGTTATACAGACGTTCTCTCTCCCATCCTGGTTGGGAGCCGAGTCGTCCCATTATTCGAGACCATCATCTACATTGGCTGTACATTGTAGAGCAGCTCGTCAAGTTTATAACCAGGCTGCTGCGGTAAGAGTCGGTGTAACATCTCCTTCAAAAAAAGGCCACTGACTCCTGGACACGTGAGTTCGGCACGCTCAAGGTCGGTTCGGAACTCGTCGAGAACTGCCTTCGAAGTATTTTGGCGTCTCTCCAGTGACGCCAAGATTGGCACTATGGGCTTTCCTGGAAATTTTCGGAAATAGAGTATTGATCCATGATTTTTTTGCAACGCCTTCAGCTGTCGGAGAATCGAAGGAGAAAATCGACCCGGATTGCTCTTAAACAGCATTACTCACCACTTAAAATAGATGTTTTAGTGGGAGGTGGAACCATCTTGATGGGGTGTGTTGGGGTCGCTATATGCGACTGGGGCGAAACCAAGGACCGATCTCTGAAGCGGGAAGTGACACATTCAATGAACACATGTCTCGTACACGTGGTGGGACATACATATAAAGAATGATGATCTTCTCTATCGAGCCCCACCTTTCTCTCTCTCTGACGGGTGAGACCAGTGGTCGATCTAGAGACCTTTCTTTGACAGGAGGGGGTGCGACTGTTGGGCGATCCTTCGATACTAAAGGCACCTGCTTCTCTTTCACGGGAGAAATCATGACCGGCTTCTCTTTCATCGGCGAGCCCAACGACGGTGGGCCAGATTTTTCCGCAGATGCCCGAGCAGGCGATCGCACAGGAGGGCCCTGAGGTGGCAAATGAGGATGTGGGACGTGATTGCTGTGTGTGGGTGGAGGTGGCGGCGCACCCCGCTCGGGAGATTGCAACCCCAAGCTATGACGATTTGCTATCCGCGCCGCTGCGGGTAGGTTCTGAAAATAATAGGGCTCGAAATGAGATTCGCGATCATTAAACCGTCTAGAGAGAGGCCGTCAACGAGTAATACGGATTACACCTCGAATTTAGAAGCTACCTCTCTAAGGGGCGAAGCTGCCGGAACGCTCCGCGGGACATGTTGAACTTTCGACTGCTCGGCCTTCGATTGAATCGGAGTAGGCTCGGTCGGAGTTTCTGTCACGAGCGGAGGATTTTTTATTGTACCAAGGTCCCATCTCAGAGACTTCCAGGTGCCCCCTGAATCCAGATCTCCATTGCCGTCATGACTTGAATCACCTGCAACCGAGCAACCAGTCTTGAAACGAAGAACTTGGAAATAGCGCCCGATATTCAAGTTTCCCGGTCGTGGCTCCTGTGTCAACTTCGAGGCGAGCACCCTGATAAGAATGCTCTGTAGCATCGATTAGTTCACCATTATCATTGCCGTTGCCATCGGAGTCGTCCGAGCTTCCTTCGCCTCCGTTCGCCTTCCATAATTTGTACTTGTCTATCAAATCGATTAGGTACGAATTCTTCTTGGCTTTCCGAACTAATGGGTGCTTCAGGAGATCTCGAGCCGTCGGGCGGTTTTCCGGCTCTTTGTTGAGGCACGCCTCGACGAATTCCTGCGAGATAATTAATTGTATAAGATTCAAGTGCCCGAGAATTCCCAACGCATCCCTGCACAGCCCAAAAGCCTTTCCGAAATGACCGGTATGCTCGATTGATTCTTCGGGATTTTACCTTGAAAGGCTTTGAGTAGTTCCCCGTCAATTGAGGTGGATTGTTTTTTGGAATGAGAAACAGGACACGCATTGGATGCAGCTCGGAATGTGGGGGCTCGCCCTTTGCGAGTTCGATGGCTGTGATGCCCAGGGACCAAATGTCGGCTTTGGAATCATATAACGATTGTTTGATGACCTGTAATAGTGAGAACACGATCGACGTCAGCAGAAGATTGAAATCCGATGGACCGAACCATCTCATCCCGCGCTCGCGTTGAAAAATCACGGGACGGATTTTTCCGCTCTCATATTTTTTCGGTGTTCCGAGCCGCGTGGCCTACCTCGGGAGCCATCCAAAACGGTGTACCGACGAACGTGTCTCTCTTCGAAGTGGTGGATGTGAGTTGTCCAGCGACACCGAAGTCGGCTAGCTTGACATCGCCTTGCTCCGACAGTAACACATTTGCCGCCTTGATATCCCGATGCAGTTTCCGCTCGGCATGGAGATACTCGAGACCCTTGAGAACTTCACGTAGGATAATGGCTGCGAGGAAACAGGCTCGGGTTAGGATTCAGCAGAGAGTCAAGTATCGCGAAGATATCACAAGATTGAATCAAGCTCCAATATTACCCAAATGCGGAGAATACTGACCGATGTGAAGTTCTTCGAAGCGAGCTGCCTTCATGAGGTCGAGGGCACTCCCCCCACCCAAATATTCCATTATGATCCATAGTTTCGACGCTTTTAGGTGCGATCCGTAGTAACGAGTCACGTACGGTGAATCACATTGCGATAGAACCTGTGGAATCAATCGATACTTATTGATTCCTGCGATTCTTTGCGAGCTCGAGCCCTCCGATCGCTCGGAGGCGGGCCTTTGGTTCACCTGGTCAGACCGCAGCTCAAATGAGCTCGGCGTCAACGTACGACCACACCTATTGATAATTTTCTCCCTCTTCGGGGCGTAAAACAAGCGGACGTGGAAGCGCTCCGCGTAGATTGAGATTTGGAAAAGCGGGGCGAAGCCAATAAAAAAAAGTGGTCCCCACCGGACGATCGGTCCATCGACTTCATTCCGCCAACCCGCCTAAAACGCATGCAGATCTTGATCCTCGTGGAGCGCATTGCGCTCGAACTGATCGATCGGGAGGGAGAATTGTGGGATTAAATCCTCACTCCCAGACAGCGGGTTGGATCCAGAAATTGATCAGGGCGATGGTCGGCACGCTCTGTGGACTGATGATGAACAGGCGGAAAAAAACGAACTAAACATGGATAGATAGACTGACGGGTGCGACTGGCAAAAAAAAGACACACGCGAATGCACCAGCGGCCAGGCGGTTACCGGCGATTCATGACTTAACAATAGACTCCACTGATCATGCCACCTCGCTGTCAATCCGCCCGCCGCTGAAACCAAGCAAAAAAGCGACCGAATTTCTCACGAGTCGGTGTTTTCTCATTTAGACATCCCACCGGATGTGCTCGGCACGGAGGACTCTCGATATTTATGCAGAAAAAACTGGCGTGCCCACTCTCGTTATGGCTTCTTGGTTTCCAACGTTTTCGGTGAGTCATCCGGTAACTTCCCAGCCCGACCGACGGATTGAGCGGTACGACGACAATTAATCGGTAATTAGCCAGCGTTCACCCGAACGTTGTTGGAGGATCCTCACGGATTCGTGACCATTCAAAACTCAGGGCTTCACGGAATTCGTGACCATTCAAGTCTCAGAACTTCACGGTAGATTATTATTACCCGACTCTCAAAAGCGTGGATGCGCTGATCGAGATTCCTCTACATACATACACAGATCGTGCGCAGTACGAACCCAGACTTTCTAGGCTTCTCCGAGCGATTGTGAAAAACTCGCCGGAACACAGTCAAGCGCGTCTCCGGATGAGCTCATACACTTGAGATTCGAGCTTAGCTATACAAATGTCTCGCTTGGTTCGACCTGTGGGCGTATTATTCGGGAGCGCCTTATAAGTGGGAGCTTCGGTTGCCAGCGCTGCTCCACAAGTGATTCAGTCTAGGGATGTGTTCCGAGCGTTGCGATGCTGACGTCAAAGCAATGCGTAGTAACGTAAGAAGCGCGTCGACCTTGCAATACTCGAATAGATCGACCCTCACCTGAATCTCTTGTTGGATGTCCTCAATCTCGTCTTCGGCTTCTTCCAAATCGATGATTTTGATCGCAACAACGCGCTGGGTCTTGCGCTCGATGCCTTTGAATACTTCCCCGAACGACCCTTTGCCGATCCGCTCCTGGAAAACGACAATATCGGATCAGCGTCTATGGAGCACATCTTCTGTAAACGGCCCACAATTAGGGTATCTGCCCCGGACCCTTAGATTCTGGATTATCTAGTTCTTTTAGAGATTCTAAGTATTCGAGTCTGATCTGAAGGCTTGTACGATGGTTTTTCAGGTGAGACTCCTTCCATTCTATCTCGTGAAATTACCTGCTTGCTGAATAGAAGTTCAGGATCGGCACCTCCTGACCCGAATGAGGCCATGGCGAAGGCCTACGGACCCGCCCTGGAAGATACTTTTTCTTTAATGGAATAGTGAGAGTGGGCGAAGTTAACTGCTAACCCTCATCGGATTTCCGAGCATCGTTCGCCGGGTCTCCGCGAAAGCGTACCACATTTTACACATAAGCTGAGCTACGTTGCCATATTAGACTGTCTGCATATCAATGAGCTCCGGAGGGCTTTCGTCGACGACAGAACATTCCATCGTAAACTCCGCCACAAGAAGCGTGACCGCCTGATAAGTCGAATTCTGATGAGGCTCGATCTTAACTGGTGAAAGCTGATGTTTTTTTTGGAGCAAATGAGAGAAAAAAACCTCTGTTCCAACGAACGAGGATCGTGGGACGGATTCGTGTATTCACAAGGGAGAGAGAAGCGAACGGAAAAGGGTCAGGTATTGAATTAGGCGTCTATCTGGAATAATGGAATGCTCGTCGCGGTCGCCGGACGATACGTAGTTAACAGATGAAATGGAAAAAGACGTAAAAAGAGGAGACACCGTTGAGCGCTGATCTGAAAAAATGCCTTTCTCGACAAGGAGATAAGGCTTCTCCGCCAATTTTTTATGGGAATTTTTCCTGAAGCCAACATCAGACCGGAGTCTGGCTCCGCGATGAGGCTGACGTCGTCCGTGTCGTTCCGACCGCGTGGAACTGACACTTCTACCCACAGACAGGCAAAACTACAGACAAACGCACGACCGTTCGCACAGTGACGGCCGTGGTGGAAAAGGAAACTCGATTGAAAGGAATAGCGACCAGAACCACGACCAAAGCAAACATCAAACGGCAAAACGGGCACTGACTGACTGTTCGGCTGACTGGATAACTGCTTGGTACGAAGACTCAGCTTCAATTTTTGGGACGGCAAGTTCCATTCGGGTCTCTTCGTGAGAGTCGAGCTCAAGATCCGAGATCGGCAAAGATCAGGATATGAACCCCAGGCTATAGAACCATTCCTCGACTCTTCGCGGACTGCGACGGATAATTCCACTCAATACGAGCCCAAATGAGGGCCGTCGAGCTCTGCGGCAAAACCGATAAGTTATCCTCAATCCTCAGTCTCGTAGGGTGACTAGATTCGATCTGCCGTGCTTCTCATTTCGTTCAATGTGCCGTGAAAATTATTCGAAACCTGACTTTCACGGAGGCCCCCGGTTCGAGAGAGGCATGAACGACCTCCGGGAAGCGGGAACTGCGCACAAGCATGCTCCTCCTCGCCGTTCTTCTGCGAAGCTCCCAAAGTGAAGCACGATTCGACCGGGAAAAGTCGCAGAATAATCACACCGCATATTTCGATCGCAGCTGGATTCGACCGAGTTTTCACGCTACAGCTCAATAAACACAAACGATTTCGAACGGCGATTACGAACAAACGAGCTCATGGGTCAGAGGTCTCTCGATTCACGCAGCAGTCGCCAATCGGTCCTTTTTTGTCTCGTCTCCTCTCTTCAAGCAGAACATCGGATGCAGCCGTCAAGATCCGTCGATTCTCCGGGAGGGCAGCCGGTCGATCGGACATAGTTCGAGGTATCATTCAGAACGTTTGAAAATTTCCAAGTCTACCTCCACCGAAAGGGTCGGACTCTCTCCATGCCCGCTTCGTCCTTATCGATTCGTCCGTCTATGGAGCTCATCGTTCTGAATCTGGTTTTCCCCCTTGATGTTCCCTCTGCGCCACCCACCGATGCCTCCGGGAGATGTTCTGTGAGACTGTTGCGCAAGGATTGAGCACGAGCGCGAGGAAGAGCCAGCGCGTAATCAGTCCGACGAAGCCCCATCGTTGGAATGAGATCATCCGGATTCGTGTCGTCGAAATTCTGCATTTTTGGCTCGGCACGCTATATATCCAATTTATCGCTTTGCTGAGAATAGTCAGGGAATATCTTGCTCCCCGCCCACAGAAGACACTCCGACGCAGATGCTAACATCGCACGCGACATGTATCCGAGCTCAATTTCCCATGGGATGCCGAGTGATGTGCTCATGCTCGATAATTGAAGCGTGAGCACATTCCCAGAAAGACTTCCGGTCCATGAAAATTCAATAAGATCGAGACAGCGCTTGCAACTGCTACTGCCTCACCACGTAGTCAACCGATGGCCTACAGTGGAACACGTATCCGGCTGACTGGATATAGTTTGAAACCAAACAATAACCTCATGACTCGCGTCCCACCGGGGCTTTCATAGTTCCCCGATGGATTTATCACCGGAAAGACGTTTTTCCCAGCTGCTAGTGTCACGTAATGGTCAGGTGAACAGAGAGCCACGAGCGAAAATCCCAGTGAATCAAACTTGCCATTTACTCCATAGTCAGAGTCATACTCCCGGGTGAATCCAACATTTTCTGGGGAGGCCCTCTACGTTGACAATTTCATTACCTTCACCATTCATACGCAGCCTTTTCGGGGTTTCGTTTAACCTCAGTCGAAGCTCTCGTGTTCTCTGCAGTGAGCCGAAGACTAGTACATATTTCAGAATATTTTCGATAGTCTCGAATTCTCTCGCTGGGATTCCATCGTCATTCCAGAGCAGGTGGAGCGGTGTATTGATAGGGAAGAACTTCTGCGATCTCAACTTCTCCATCGTTTCTGACGGCGGTTCGCTCAGACTGAGAATAGAATCGTCCCTGAGTTCGGGAATCCGCTCGCAGATCTACGCTCGCTGGCCAGGACTAGGAGAGTTCGCGTGTGGTGTCGAACACTTGCCCTCGCACTGACCGCTGGCCCGAGAACAGCAGAGCAGCTGACTACTACCTCGACTCGATGAGGATACTTGCAAGAGATCTCTGCAGCCGAATCGTCGGCGACGATACGGGGTACGCATTTGACAGCAGAACACAACACATTTTCGCCTGTCAAAAAGCCGTCAACCGTCAAAGGGGGTCAACCCGGACCGCAAGGATGGCAGAAAGGCTAGCAAGCAGCCTCATGAGCCCAGCGCGACGGCTCGATTTCTGAGACTACGCCGACGCCTCCCAGAGATCGTCGGATCTCTCGAACGGCAGGCAGTCGCTCCGTGAGCAGAAATTTTCCGAGACGTTCATTGCTGTTGTCACTGTACGAGAAAGATACTGTTCAAGTGCAGAAAATCAAACTACCTCCTTATTCCATCCGTCGAGCGCGGGTCGTCGTCGTGGTAGAACTCACGTCACACATGAGAGCCAGGTTTTGAGCTGCACACCTCACAACCGCAACCGACTCACGCCGAGACACGTTCAACAGAAGTCGGCTCCGAAAACTTCATACAATATCTAAAGAGAGCCACGAACTGTTGTGGTGGCCGGGGCGAAGGCAAAACATAGAAACTTGCATCCTCTCCTCTCATCTGCTGTCGTTTGAGCCGCTGCCGTCGCCGCCTTCGCCGCCGCTGCGAGTTGACATTCGAACATGAAGTTCCCTAGAGACCCGAGAGCGCCGTTTCCGAGGAATGCAGGAACATTATTGGATTAGCTGGCGATCCTCGGGGACGCCGGGAAAGGTACAGGATGGCATCCTGAGGGGAAATCCTTATGCTAACCCTTCGAGGTCCATGAAAGCTGCAGACGATTGCTCACCGAGCGCTGAAGATGATGATCTCTGCTTGAAACAAACGTATTTTCAAGTATCCTCCCAGACCTCTGACACTTTTGACAGGGGCACAACGTCATCCCGAAGATTGCAGGGAGACAGTCTCTCGGTACTTTGTCATCCCTCCGAAGACTTGTCGCCCGGAGTGCCCTCTGGATACCATCACTGTCGGAGCGGGGCAGTAGCGGTCCTCTCTGACGAATCGTAGGCTTACCGGAGAAGTCTCCATTCGATTTTCGTTCACGACGGTATCCTACGGGCTTCGAGCGAGATGTCGTTCTGGGCACTTCCAGAATACCAGGGGAATCTATCGGATAATCATTTCGTGTGGTATCGGTCATGGGTTCCAGTTTTGTTCTTGCAGATAACCGAGCGGAGGCGTGGGCTCATCTTAGGAAGCCCTCCGATTCCCGACGCTACAGCGCGACTTCCCGAAAACGACGCGACGCACTCCAGTATCTAAAGGGCAGGGGAACTCGACAACGATGTATTCGACCGGCTGCATAATTGTGTTCCGCAAAGCCCCCATCTTCCGAATTTCAAGAAGAGTCTGTGATGCAGGTCGAATTCGACAACAATGACTGCTGGAGAGGAAAAAATCTTGGATCGCGCGGTTTTCGGAATCAGATATTGAGGGGACTTCCAAAGAACGGAGTTTTCTGTAAGCGAGGAGCATCGCTCTGGGACTGCAGTCGAGCAAAGAGTGGTTGCAGGGGAACTGCAAGTCTCTGGCTAGGTGCCGGAATAGCGGATGAAGAACACGAATAAGGAACTAACCTACTATGAAGACTCACTCCGGTAGGGTTCCTGCATCATTTACGATGAGCGAATATCCCGATTACATTCAACAGAACTGCGTTCCCGTGTGTTTCGCCGAGCGACTCCTGAGAGAAACAGCATGATGAACAGCTCTACGAAATAACCCTTCCTCGCCGCGACCCAAAGACGTATTCACACATATTGACGGGAGTCCCCGTCGCTTATCCTCTGGACGTTGGAACATTGAACCTTCTGCATGAGAAATCTGTTTGGAAGTCGCTCGCCATCTCCCGGTTGTCTGGCCACCCCCAAGAGAGTTGGGACTAGAAGGCAGCTGGGAAATTCCTCGCAGAGCCCTAGAATGAAAGGGGCCCCCGGGACGAAGTCTCGCGAGCCCATTCTTCACCTCTGGGCTCGAGGACTGCCCAGAGTTTCCTTCTGTGCCTTGGTCTTCCGCTCATTCCAACCGGATGCCTGGAGCCGGTGCAAGCAGCGATTTTGCTGAAATCCTCATCGCCACTCATTCGTCGAGTATTTTATTCTCGGATATCATATTGACAAACTTCGAATATTGCCAGAAGTTCGCGAAGAGCTGTTGTGATACCGCTAATTCTGCAGCGGATCTACCTATCCGAGCTCTAATTCGGGAGTTGGCGGAAATCATGAGCACTCAGGGATCTGTCTCCTGGTAACTCGAGATTCGAACATGCTTCGGAACTGGCGAGGAGATTTCCGAATTCTCAGAAGAATTACGGGGCCGAGACGCTTGGAATCAAGTACGCTACGGGCTGGAGATCCAAGAACGACTATTCAATCAAGGTAGACCGAAGGGTCTCGAAAGAGCATTTCATTCGCTGATAGAATATACGGCAACAGCCTGGATCGAAGCGAGACCTCTCGCTGGAGCGACGCACACGTTTCGCAGCGACTCACGAATTGCACACGAAGTGCGGAGCGTGCAAACTACCCGGCCATGTCGACGATCGGCCTCTAGCTCCGGCAGAGTCTTCGGATGGTCTCTGAATCCAAGGAGAAGCCCCCGTTCGAAAGGCACCCGGAGCTCGTTCCGAGCATATATGGGCTCATTCTTGGTCGGCTCTGCAGCTCTTGTACGCCGATCAGAGAGTCGTCAGCCTTGGCGACGCTCTGACCTAGCTTGGGAATTGTTTTGTGGGAGTTGGGAGGCCAGCCGAGAATGGAGTCCTCCTTATGCGCATTATGATGGATTCCGGAGCGTCTTCTAGAGAGAACCCGAGTCTCGGTGAAGTCGAGCCTTGGCTTCCCGTGGGTATTCCGGGTTTGGCTCTCGAGAAAGGCGGAGATATATATATAGGAGACCTTGGCTCTGGACCGCCGGGAAGAACGGATCATCGTCAGCGTCGCAACTTTTTTTCCCGTCTCCAAGTGCGAAGGCTCGCTCCTAGTTGACGAGCCTCGCATTCCTCGGACTGCGAGGGAGCGCCGACTGTGGTGAAGCGCTCCGGGGTTCGTGGAAACCACTCCCCCTCGAATTATCTCCCAGCTAATTATCATCCCCCTATGTGGTTCCTTTCGAGATGTCCCCCTTGTTCAGCTCTTCTCTTGGTGCCTCTCATTTCTCCATTATATCGTTCTGTCCCTTCTCATGATCGTGAGTCGACAAACCGGCGAAGATTCTCAGCGTCGAAGCCTCGAAAGTGTAGGTCAGTGGATATTCAATGTGGGAATCGCATGTATAATTTATTCCATCAGCATCAAGGATACATGCAAGGAATCGGAAAGAACTTTGTCTCTTTGGCCGCTCTGTATTGAAATCCTGTGCTCGATCCGCGACGAGCCATCCGGTTCTCCGGTAGTGGAGGTTGGCAGAGTTCTCGGAGACTTCCTCATGGCTGGAGAATGGTCGGGGAAGCCGGCTGGGACGAAGAGATTCTTGGGAAACAGCGTGATGGGAGGCCGGCTCGCCTCAACTCTGTTCCTGTGCCTCTGCGAGGCGGAAAACCTGGGAGGGATGTTGTCAATTTCTGACCCAAGAACTTGGTGCGCCCTAGAAGATGTTTCCCGATCGAAAGCCTAGTGGATCGGAGAACCACTTCCCAGAGCATTCCTCATGGAGGGATCGATCTGTCCCGCCCATCGAGAGGTGTTCATTCTCATCGTCGCGTCGTTGCTCCCATTACGAAGGTGAGTCGAAAGGAGGCATCCAGTCGGCTAACGTATTCGTTCGTGAGCGGATGCTCGATGGAAAACACGGTTCCGGCTGCCTTCTCTAACAATGATTGATCGCTCATCGACAATTGGCGCTTATGCCCCGGGTCTCGAAATTTCCATCGTCAAACATTGGCGTGGAAGCATTTCGTACGCGCTACATGGGTGAATTAGCCGGAGTATGATACCCATTTCGCTCCATCGTCGAGGACTAGGATCTAGGGCCTGTCCTCCGGGGGAGCCAATGCTGTACTGAGCTGGGTAGCCATCTTCATACCGTATTCTCTCTAATAGTGGGGCATGTCCCTCTATTTTTCGAGCTTCCGAAACATGCCCCTATATTGGAGAGTGCCCGAATATTAGAGAGTGCCCCTCTATAATTTCAACATCCCGAGATGGATTACAGCCCATAGCCTGCCGTGTGGAGCGTGTCAATTCATTTCCCAACCAGTTCGTGGAGTTCTCAAGAAATCCGGATCAATCATCAGATCATTCTCCAATCAGGAGCAGTTCTCGAGAAATCATTCTCTATCCTCCTCAAGAGGTGCCCCTCTAATAGAGAGTGCCTGTATATTAGAGAGTGCCCTTCTATATTTTCATCTTCCGAAGAGGTGCCCGTCTATTCGGACAGGGGGCGGCATTTTGCTTGATCGCGTCCGAAAAATGTTTACTTTCGTTGACCGCCCCGGGCGGTACCATGGGGGAGCACGCCACTGGTCGGTACCAACAAACATGATCCGAAGCTATCTCATGTTTACGAGTCGCGACTTTCAGCGAGTCTTCGCGCGATGACGAGGTCAAAGGGGGGCAGACCGATATTCACAACCCTATACTCACCACACCTCCGCAGACCATGGTATAATTCCCTCAGGTGACTCGTCATTTCCAGCCCCGCAAAGAAAGGGAGAAAACTTCGCCGAAATAATCCTCAAAACCTCCGACTAACCAAATATCAATATTATTTGAATATAATTACGCGGGGAGGTTCGAGCGGAGGCGTATCGACGAGGAGCGAGGGGAAAGTCGATGGGGCGATAGCAGAGGTTAAGAGCGCGTGCGCAGCAGCGGTGTCAAAAAAACAATCAGCACGCCACAGACTGTGCAATACGGTGCCGTTTTTCCGGTACTTCCGATTGTGACCCCTTTCAATATATGCCGTTCGGAATCCATACAATCCCTAGTTCCAGCCACCCTCGATCCTTTACTGTTCCATCCCAATGGAATCAGTCCAAAGACAAGAATTGGCCGCTTCGAGGCGGTCGGCACGGTAGGGAGCTGAGCTCCTGGTGGCTAAAACTGCCGCGTCCCGACGAAATTTCGTCCTTCGTTCGACACGATGAGGCACACTTAAGGTGTGATATGTGCAGGGAAGTGAGTGTGATCTTATCCTGAAACATCTGAACGTTGTGATCGGGGATTCCGGAGCCGTCGGGTCCCGGTCTCCTGAAGACTTCCTCCACTGAATGTTCTACTTGCTTGTCAATTTCGAAGATGGCGCCGGATCCTTTGAAACGAGGGGTACGCTTGAACACATGAATCTGCGTAGACACATTGACGTTCGGACGCTAATCTTCTGTGAAGGAAGCTTCATGGGATTCGGAAATCATATTGACCACTTTTTCTCTGCATGATACAATATGGTTACCCAGTGCGAATGCCGCAATCATCTCGGGTGTCTCACCGGCATTCACGCTGACCGGGCGGGAACGATTCTGACCAGGGCGGTCACGTTTCTCGATA